AACGAAGTAGGTAATATACACTCCTTTATATTCCAATAACGCCACCCCACCGCCACCACTATCCCCTATCCATTCAATTCCAGTCTACATCACTATGCCCTCCCTCTTCTCATCATCCTCATGCAAACAATCCTACCCACTGTTAATAATAATTAAGAAATAGGTATATATACTCATACATATACTGTATACATACTCTTTTGAAAGCAGGCCATTGAACTTCAATGCAATTCAATGTATTTCTCCACAAATGCCAAACATAGGAAAATACATTAAATCAAATACATACATGCAATAGAACGACTCTACTTAAGTTATGTTGAAATAGAAACAAATCAGCAAAGGTAGAAAGGGTAGTCGGACTACCCCACCCCCCCCCCAATAATAATAACAAATTATACAATCAAAGGTAAATATAAAGTCAAATAATGAGGTGGTACCAATAACGAGAAAGAAGCGAGGAGAAAATATCAAAGACGGGGGGGGGGGGGGAGAGTGCTTCCGTGAATGTTTAAAAAAATAATGATGGCCTTACTTGAGTATCAGGAATAACCTTAACTTAGCCTCAATGAATACAATGATGAACAATTTATATCAGGTGGAACATGACTCCATAACATATAGGCCAATTGAAGGCTTTCCGTTTTTGTAAGAAAGTCTGAGCTATACTTTCATTTTGCCATAGAAGAGTTCTGTATAAAAAGGTCATCATAGACAGGTGGCAAGTTGTTATGTTTGTGGAACATGAATTGACCGAGCTGCATTAACATTAAAAATATTCATCCGTTTTAATAGGGGTGCAGTATGTGCACAATCCCCCCCCCCCCCCCCCCCCCCACAAAAGTAGGTCTGTAGATTCAATAACCAGTGTGTCACTTTAACACCCGCACGTGCGTCTTATATACACATGTGTATGTAGAGCTGTTGACTATGTGGCCCTGAAGGGACATCGCGAATAGACTAAATCGCGAAAAATATGCGATAAAATTCACGATATCGTCAATTTTATCGCATATTTTTCACGAAGAAATTCACGAAATTGACGATATCGTGAACTTTATCGTGAACTTTTCACGATGAAATTGACGATATCGTGAATTTTATCGTGAAAAGTTCACGATATAAAGTTCACGATATCGTCAATTTTATCGTGTACTCTATCGTGTACTCTATCGTGTACTCTCCTGACGGGCGCTTCGTAAACAAAACCAGCCCTAGCTGGGGGAGACAGAGAGAAGGAAAAAAAGGGAAAGGGAAAGAGAAGATAAAAGGAAAGAATGAATAATAAGAAGAAAAGAGGGAAACGGGGGGGGGGGCGAAGGGCTCTTGCCTCTCCTCACTCCCCCCCCCCCCCCGCCCAAAAAATAAATAAGGAGAGAGAGAAGGGAAAGGAAAGGGAAAGAAAATATAAAAGGAAAAGAAAGAAGAGGAAGAAGGAAAGAGGGAAACGGGGGAAGGGCGAAAGGCCCTCTACCTCCCCCCCCCCCGCCAAAAAAAAATAAATAAGAGAGAGAGAGAGAGAAGGGAAAGGGAAAGAAAGAAGAGGAATAAGAGGGAAACAGGGGAAGGGCGAAGGGCTCTTGCCTCTCCCCCCCCCCCCCCCCGCCAAAAATAAATAAGAGAGAGAAGGGAAAGGGAAAGGGAAAGAGAAGATAAAAGGAAAGAAAGAAGAGGAAGAAGAAGAAGAAAAGAGCGAAACGGGGGCGAAGGGCTCTTGCATCCCCCCGCCCAAAAAAATAAATAAGAGAGAGAGAGAGAGAGAGAAGGGAAAGGGAAAGAGAATAAAAAAGGAAAGGAAGAAGAATAAGAAGAAAAGAGGGGCTCTTGCCTCCTCCCCCTCCCGCACCAACAAATAAATAGGAGAGAGAGAGAGATAGAGAGAAGGGAAAGGGAAAGGGAAAGAAAATATAAAAGGAAAGAAAGAAGAAGACGGAAAGAGGAAACGGGGGAAGGGCGAAAGGCTCTTACCTCCCCCCCCCCCTCCCGCCATAAAGGGAAAGAGAAGGGAGAGGGAAAGAAAATATAAAAGGAAAGAAAGAAGAGGAAAAAGAATAAGAAAAGAGGGAAACAGGGGCGAAGGGCTCTTGCCTCCTTTCTTTTCTTTCTTTCCTTTCTTTCCTATTCTCCTCTTTTTCGTTTTTCTCTTTCTTTCTTCTCTTTCCCTTTCCTTCTCTCTCTCTCTCTTATTTATTTTTTGGCGGGGGGCGGGGGGACGAGGCAAAAGCCCTTTGCCCCCGTTTCCCTCTTTTCTTCTTCTTCCTCTTCTTTCTTTCTTTTATCTTCTCTTTCCTTTCCCTTTCCCTTCTCTCTCTCTCTCCGATTTATTTTTGGTGGGGGGGGGGGGGAGGGGGGGGCAAGAGTCCTTCGCCCTTCCCCCGTTTTCCTCTTTTCTTCTTCTCCTCTTCTTTCTTTCCTTTTATCTTCTCTTTCCCTTTCCCTTTCCCTTCTCTCTCTCTCTCTGATTTATTTTTTGGCGGGGAGGGGGGGGGGGGGGGAGTGAGGAGGAGGCAAGAGCCCTTCGCCCCCCCCCCGTTTCCTCTTTTTCTTCTTATTATTCTTTCTTTCCTTTTATCTTCTCTTTCCCTTTCCCTTTTTTCCTTCTCTCTGTCTCCCCCAGCTAGGGCTGGTTTTGTTTACGAAGCGCCCGTCAGGAGAGTACACGATAAACTTGACGATATCGTGAACTTTATATCGTGAACTTTTCACGATAAAATTCACGATATCGTCAATTTCATCGTGAAAAGTTCACGATAAAGTTCACGATATCGTCAATTTCGTGAATTTCTTCGTGTGAAAAATATGCGATAAAATTGACGATATCGTGAATTTTATCGCATATTTTTCACAATTTAGTCTATTCGCGATGTCCCTTCAGGGCCACCATAGTTGACTGTATAGTTAGGAACTAGAAATAATAAAAACATTTCTTTTTTAAACATCACTTTATTGTTCAAACTTGCACAACAAAGGAGAAGATACAAAAGCCCCGGACAATTTATTAAAAGTACATACAGTGTATAATGTTATATAACATCAACAAAACAAAAGTATAGGATAAATTGATGGCCTGTCTGAGCCAGCTAGCACAGCTACATGTAGCTATGTAGCCGCGCTGCATGCCTAGACTACCTACATGCCGGTGCGTGGGTCCGACCAGAGGCTATAGGCCTTCCTAGTCTTCGTACTGTAAACGCGCCTGTTGTGTAGTTTGCAGGCACAAATCCTGGTCAGTCTTAAAAGAGAGGCTGCACTATAAGACTACCATAGGCCATGTACTATAGCTTCTCCTGACACACCCAGTAGGTAGCTGGGCTAGGCTTCTCTCAAGACACAATTATTTGTTAATAAAGTGTTAAATTAGGGTCTGTGCTTGCAGACTACCTGTTGCGCGCGTGTGTACTACTGCACGGTTCAGGTGGTTGTGTAAAGTATCGCATGTATTTCTGGTTGAATAAAATTTGTGTCGAATAAAATTTGTGTCGAATGAAATTTTTGAGACGAATACTTTTTCGTGGCATGCATTATGTATGGAACGCCGAATAGCTCCTTTGTTGAATACATCTTTTTCATTGAATACCTTTATTGTCGAATAAAAAGTAAAATAATTCCTTGGAATAATATTTTTGTAGAACAAAACAAAATGTGCCAAATAAGATTTTGTCGAATGAAATTTTGTCGAATAAAATTTGTGTCGAATAAAATTTTTGTCGAATGAAATTTGTGTCGAATAAAATTGTGTCGAATAAAATTTGTGTCGAATGAAATTTTTGTCGAATGAAATTTTTGTCGAATACAATTTTTTGTCGAATGAAATTTGTGTCGAATGAAATTTTTGTCGAATGAAATTTTGTTGAATAAATTTTTGTCGAATAAATTGTTGACAAATACAATTTTTGACGAACAATGTGTCGAATGAAATTTATGTCGAATAAAATTCTTGTCAAATAAAACTTGTCAAATATTTTCTGAAATTGTCGAATATATACATTTGAGTGAAATATATTTTTTGAAAGTGTCGCATATATTTATTTGTTTCCCTAAAGGCGTGCCAATATGATTACATATACTTCACCCTTGCCAAAACTGAAGTCAGTTTAAATGTCAATTGTAGTGTAAACATGTAAATGTGACCTCTGGTGGTATCGCTTGCTGGAAAAGGTGTCAGTCAAACGCTTTTTTCAATGTACAATGCTAATATAGTTTTCAAATGAGATAAATTTAAGTTAAATATCGTAAAATCAGAGGAACATAGACATAATGATGATGGAATATTTAAATATGGTAGCTACTGTTAGTAGAAAAGATAAAAGTATAATAATTAGTTTTTTAATATGACCAAAATGAGAGTGCTTAAGATTGTTGTATATACGATATGTCTTCTCACAGGTATTTGTTCCTAGATTGAATTTGAACTAACTTCAATACCTTTTTTTTAGGTACATCACCATCATGACATATTTGAATGACGTCGAGGAAGGGGGTGAGACAGCATTTCCATATGCTGATAATGCAACATACAGCGCTGAGGTAAAGACCTGGGTCCCGTGTTATGAAGAGTTACGATTGATCCGAATCAATCGCAAGTCCTTCAATCAATCGCAAGTTTGCAGTCTCCAATCTCTTTTGTGCATATTTGCAATTGATATCAACTGTTAATGAGACGGGGCTAAGGGGCCTGTGTCATAAGACTTAATTATTGATATCAACTGCCACAAATCTATTACACATTTACTGACAGAAAATTTTATGCCACTCCTTTAGTAGTTCAGATCATTGTGAATTACAAGTTTATAACAAACAGAACCATGAACATCAAACCCGAAACTTCACACCATGCCCTGGTTTTCATGCATCAAGAACTTGCATCTGCAATAATGTAGAGGCTAGATGCTGTTTCTAGTCCACTATTGTGCATTATAATGTACCCAGTTGCCCTTGATTAGAGTTGCGGAATTGAAGCATCGTGATCAGTCCTGATGATAAAGCCGTTAGCGTGATACGTAGTTTTTTCAGCATAAGCCTGTCTTCAGCTTTGGAAAAAAACCTGCAGCTCGTGAAATCTTTCATTGTATTGACTGAAGACAGCTTTACATATTAACTAGCATGTATTTTTGCAACCACTCAAGGCTGAGGTATACCCTTTTTCTTGTTCATTCCACTTTTGGGTTTCATATTAGTTTCGATTTGTAGCAGAGTTAAATTCCCGAAAACATATAAGAACATTTATTATTCTTATGATGAGACACGTTAGAAAGTGCTTGACATGTACTTTGAAGCAATTGACAATAATGATTCACTAGTAAAACTTTCTAACGTTTATAATTCATTCAGGTTGCCGCTGAAAATGAGCCAACCACGACAGATCTGAAGAACCATTGTCATGATGCCAATATGGTAATACACCCTGCCAAGGGCAAGACTGTCATGTGGTATAATCACCTAGTCGACCCGGAAACAGGTATTTCCAGTGGCTTAATGAGCGAAAACTTTGTTGGGGTCAGAACTCATCAAATCTGCATCACCACCAATTAGCATAATGCAGGGGCAGCGGAGCGTCTTCTTAAATAGGGAGACATTGGTATATATACCCCTCCATCGTCATGATGGTGATTACATTACCAGTATTGGTATCAATATTTGTTTCTTTACCTGGTACAAGATACTGCTAATAATTAAGCAAAACAATTTGCATTTGGGTGTAATGGTCTGAATATTAATTTTCGATCGAGCGAAGCGACCGAGCAAATAATTTAAGATTTGTGAGGTCCCAGTGCGAAAAATTACATCTTATAAAGAAGACAAAAAAAAAAAAAAACCCTGATGAGTATTTAGCACAATATAATCAAGAAAGACTAAAAAGCTCTTTTATAAGTAACAAAATTACAACGTTTGTAAATGCGAGCGAGCGTAGCGAGTGAGCTTTAGGTAGAAAAGGGGCTCTAAATCGTCTTAAATTAGGAGTGCGTGTTATGGGGAAAAGAAAGTAGGCACTTATCAAAAGGGAAAAGGACAGTTATTAGAAAAGAGTAGGTGCTCGTATCGAAGTAAAAAGGCAATTATCAGAGATAAAATTGGCACTTCTTGCACCTTAAAGGGAACAGAGATGAAAAAAGGCACATGTGAGAATTTAAATGGGGAATATCATAATGTTGAAGGGAAGAGGTAGCTATCAAATTTTAATAGGTGCATTTATCCGATGTTAAAAAAGGGCATTTTGAAAAGAGGGAGGGGCTCATATGAAAAAGGAAAAGGGGCTCTTATCCGGAGGAAATATGGCACTTATTAAAAAGGAAAAGGGGCACGTGTCAAAGTAAAAGAGGCTCTTATCAAAGTTGGAAAGTAGCATTTAAGATAAAGGGAAGAGGGTTATTATTAAGAAGGAAAAAGTACACTAATTAAAAAGGAAAAGAGGTACGTGTCAAATTAAAAAAAGGACCAAAATATCAGAGGTTAAAAAGGAAATTTCTCGCACCTGAAAAGACGTAGTCACCAGAAATGAAAAGAGAGGGAGCGGACAATTATTAGAAAAGAAAAGGGGCACTTGTCCTATGTAATAATGGGCTTTTTGGAGGTACCTGAAAAATTGGAGGCACTGTTCCCCCCTCCCCCTCCTAAATCTATTTGGGGGTCGACTGCCCCCCCCCCCCCATCAGTACGCCAGTGGGTATATCTGTTGTACAATTCTAGGAAGGGAACTGCTAGATGTCATTACACATTTTGAAAACGATATTCCTTACAAAAATGGCAATAAAATCAAAAGCCCTCAGAAAAGACTTTCCTACCCAATAAAACAATAGCCAATTGGCGAAATTTCGTTTGACTATAGCGTCTGAACAGAATTTTTTTTTATTCTGTCTTGTGTCACTTTCATCTTCTCCGTCGCATAACATCCTAACTTCTCTTTATATATTAAAACAAATATATATGTGACATTTTCAGGTTGGCTAGGGGCACAGGATAAATATTCTCTACATGGTGGATGTAAAGTAAAGCGTGGAGTCAAGTGGATAGCAAACAACTGGATAGCTGTAGATGACATATACAGTCAGTGAGTTTTCCAACGTATTCCCTTACCTTGCGCGTGTGGTATATCAACGATGATCCCCGATATACTTATTTTTCAGGTTTCCAACAAATCCGAATACATGAGGTGGGTAAGCGCGCGCGCGCGTGTGTGTGTATGCGTGTGCGTGTGCGCGTGCGTGCATGTGGGTTTGTGCAAAATGTCATATTTCGAGTTTTCGCGAAATTCTAGGAGGACCTTTGGTAGGTGCAGCCTAACCTTTTCACTTTTGATATCTTAATTCGCGATCGGGTATGTCAAAACAATTTTTGAGAAATTCATTTTATTGCCATTTTTATTGAACACATTCTTGTTTTGTCCAAAAACGCCTGAATCCGAAACATAAACCTTAGTAAAGAACTTTCGGTTTTCGCAAAAACGATGACATGACAAGTGTTTTCAGACGTCAGCATATTTCGAATAATGACCCCAAAATCAAATTCATTGCCATTTTTCTGAAACATCGAGGTCACCTTTAGGATGCCTGAAAACCTCAAGACACCAAACCGGAACCCAATTAGAGAATATGAGTATTTTTGCCAAAAATAACAACCTTACCCCTTGCAAATTTTGAATTTTGTTTTTCTTCCCAATTTTTTTGGGAAGAGGGGACTCAAGCTCCCTCTTTCCCCCCAAAACCTCGATAATCGCCACTGGAAACAGGTTCAGCAATTGACTTGAAATGAGATTACTGCAATAGTCATCATCATCATTATCAATTGTTATTATTCACAGCAAACTATAACGTATTTATTAAATTTGCGTTTGCAGACAAATGGAGTTTCATAAGAAATATTTTGCGAAGCACGCAGTACCAGGATCCAAGCCAGCATTGACAGTACAAAGCGATAGGAGGAAACAGACGCATCCACTGTGGATTCTTCGACAGGCACAAAATCATCCAGTGAAGACATCGATATTGGTTCTTCAGAGACGTCAAACGCAGCTTCAGAAAAAGCCAAGGCACAACGGGAGGGCGCTGTTCAAGATGGAGAGACGCCAGACGGTCTTGTGGATGGGTCACGTGATACAGCTACAGGACCTGGCGGGTTAAAGGGAGAACTCTGATCCCCGTGTCCCATCCACCCCGTCCCCCACCCCCATCCCCACCCCAACCCCAACCCCAACCCAACCCCACCCTCTATTCGTTTTTGAGGGATTTTATTGTTTATATTTCATTAGATTGTTTTACCTGACGGCTAAGAAAGCATGTGTATGCTCTTAGGTAAGCAACCAGGGGACCGACGGCTTTAAGTCCTCTCCGGGGACTTGGTAATGAGAATTCATGTCTTACCAAAGGGCACCATAGCGCATCGAATTGGGTTTCGAACCCGGGACATCCCGGTAACAAGATCTCTGCTCTACCATTGAGCCAACTGTGCTTATATTTATTATTTTCAACGTTAATGGGTACGCATAATGCCAAAGAAAATATGATAAGTATACAGTCAGCTTCCAATTAAGCTATATTATGAATTAAATCTGTTTTCTTTTGTTTGGTAGAATCTCAGAAACCCTAGGGCCAAAGCAATTAAGTGATAAAAATATAAAAATATTTTGCGCTTTATATTAGGTTCATATTTTATTATTGAGTTGTAGAATCTTGGTCAGTGTACACTCCAAACCGATTTTTCTATTTGTTACAAACATTTTGCGTTGCATAAAATCTCTGTCGTATGTAGTGTTTCGTTTTCGCTACATTGTATCAAAAACGTTTGCACCAATGATGTTTTGACTTTATATTCGATTTATCTGCTATTTCATTTAGTTTTGTAGGGTCTCATGAAACTCATGCGCATAGTAAATTATCTATTTAATTAATCTGTCAATCTTTTAGCATTTAATCTAATATTTCTTTTTCTTTTTCAATATTTTTTTTTTTTTTTTTTTTTTTTTTTTTTTGGGGGGGGGGGGGTCTCGAAATTTGAAAATTTGACATTTTTTTTCGTTGGGGGGGGGGGTAAGGTCACCTTTTTTTGGTCAGCCATGGGCATAATTTTTATTTTTTTATTTTTTTTATAATTAAAAAAAAAAGAAAAAAGGGGGGTTTTAGGGGGTTTACACACATAAAAATACCAAAGGGGGAGGGTTAACCCCCAACCCCCCCCCCTGTGTACGCGCCTGATACAAAGTATTGATTAAGATTCATTGTGTTTGTTAATCATATTGTATTTTAACAAAAAATAATTTGAAACAAACTTTTTAACGAAGTATGACATGTTTTAACTTGCAAATTATCATGCAATTCAGCCGAGGCTGCGAAATGATGCTCTTAATAAACTGAACTGAACTGACTTTTGTGAGATCGTTTTGTAGTGGTTGCTACAGTTTCATAAAATGCAGTACAATATATTTGTTTAGCTCTATGTTGCCGTTTTTGTCGATGATGCAATATGCATTTTAATTACTAAGAAGATTTAGACACTTTCCTTTATGCCATGAAGATGACTGACGCCTCGATTTTAAGTGTTGAGCTACTTGGTTGCGGAGTCTCCTGTGTATCGTCTGAAAGTTTAAAGGTAAAGACCAGTATTGGAAACGCCCCAATTTCAAAAAATGAAATGGAAGCTCTCATTACCAATCATGTGAAAGAATATGTTTTGACTAATACATGATGATAAAAACTTTGCCGGGAAACCGCCTACTAATTCATATATTTGGTAAATTTGTTTCTCTCATGGTCTGTGAGAGATATAGGGTAGTCCCATATACATCGTTCTGTGTTTAGTGCTTGTAACTTTACGAAGAATGGGCCATATTTCTTATCATTTTGATGATTCCAGAACCTTGCAGATGCTAGATGCTAGATGATCAATCTTTTCTGATCGATTCCACAACGTTTCTTTCACAATGCAATTGCAAGACCATAACTGGTCTTTACCTTTAACGTTCGTCCTGAAAAGTGCTGTTGTGCCTTTGGTCTTTCTTACTGCTCGTTTGACATCTTTTAAAGCTTGTCTACATTTAGACTCCGTTTGCAGCAGTCACATCCCAAGTCTGGGAAGTGATGCTGAAGTAACTCAGATTTCTCTTAAGACTGTCCTTGTCACGTTTGCACCTGTGGCGAATCCAGGGGGTGGGGGGGGGGGGGGCAAAAAAGGGGGGAAAGATTATTATTTTTTGCTAATGAAAGCAACAAAAAAAGAAGTTCCTTCCCCGTCCCCCCAAGCCACTGGACGAAATATCTGACGACGTAATTTTCCAAAATCCGGGGCAAAAAACAAAAACAAAATCTGCTCATCTGACCGTGATTAAATGCCTTAGAACCCCTGAGCTTCCGGGGGCTCTGCCCCTAGATTTCACCTAGGGCCCAAAGTCAGGCACCTGGATGCTCATCTGACAGTAATTTAATGCTTAAAACCCCTGAGCTTCAGGGGGCTCCGCCTCCTGGACCCAACACCAATTTGTGTCCTGCCAGTGTCACAAATAGGGTATCAAAATAATATGCTCATCTGACATTAATTTATTGCCCTAAACTCGTGAGCTTCCGGGGGCTCCGCCCCCGGGACCCCAGGTCAATTTGTAAGCTGCCAGTGTCACAAATAAGGTATAAAAATATGCTCATCTGACAGTAATTTAATGTATAAGACCCCTGAGCTTCTGGGGGCTCCGTCCCCTGGACCCCACACCAATTTATATCCTGCCAGCGTCACAAATTAATAAGGTATCAAAATATGCTCATCGGACAGTAATTAAATGTCTATACTGCCTGAGCTTCTGGGGGCTCCACCCCTTGACCCCCTCCGAGAAATGTTAGCGGGGCCTGCATGTATAAGGGTGGGGTGATGGGGTTTTTGTTGTTGTCTACCCCCCCTTCCGCAAACTTTTTTTGCCAATGTCGGTGTCACCATTACGTACCAATATTTGTTTTGCATAATTTCAAATTTGGCCCCCCCCCCCTAAAAATCTTGGATTTGGGCCTGGTTTGCACCGACCTCCTCTGTCTGTTTCTCTTTCCAGTGGTTAGTTCTCCATGCACACACTGACCGGCGTAGACAAATAGGCATTTTATTGAACTTGATTTTTTTTGACAGATTGAAGTATATATATATATATATATATATGATAAACATAAATAATTATATTCATTCAATAGTGTTTTATAGAACATGTTTATAAAAATGACATTTCCACGATACCATTCTGCCTTACCATGAAGGAAACTTAGAAAATGAAGAAATAAATGAAATTCAGCGTGACGAGTTTGAAGAAATATGACATGATAAAGGTTGATAGATGTGCAGTTTTCTTGAAACCAAAAAAGCACTACATTTCCCCCCAGTAATTTTGTCTTCTTCTTCTGGTGGACCAAAGATGTTATTTACAGCAAGGTATGTCTGCTATAAAGTTGGCTAGATGCATACAATATGAAAGATACTAATTATCATTATTTGCTATCAGTAAATGTTTCCCTCTGCGTGTTTTGTGAATACTATTGATCCCGCCCCCCCCCCCCCCCAACTCCGGGGGTGGTATTCTGAACATTGTTGTAAGTTTTGTTTTATCTTTTGTTGTAGTTTTGCCTGACAGTAAATTTGGGAATTTGATTTTTTCCAAGAAACGCATAAAAAGTATAATTTACAAAATAGTGAGGAAAAATCATATTAAAAGTTCAGCAACATTTGTAAGTTACGTTTGAACTTTATTGAGAGGGGGAACTGCCCCCCCCCCCCCAGCCTCCCTCCTCAGTACGCCAGTGCCCCCACAGCAGACTGCCCCACAGTGGCCATACCATCCAACAGAACGAAAAAACACCACCTCCCCCCCCCCCCCCCCCCCCTCTTCCGTTTCGTACATTGTAGCATCCAGAAAATTAAACCCATGGTATGTCGATATAATTATGTCACAGAGAAATTAAAGAGCGCCATCTCAAGGTCCGAATTAGAAAGGAACATTTTCGGGCTCGGAAAACAGGACGGTCAATAATATTGTTCATGAAGTGTCTTTAGTTTTAAAGCCTAGTCTACTCCTGTAAATCACACTAATTAAACGGGTGCAGTTACATTTTCTGTTGTTATCGTCATTCATATAAAAAAAAAAAGCATGTCTACTATTACACGAGTCGTTTCTGGGGAGGCAAGCGAATCAGATTCGGACGACGAACTGACTGCAGCAGCCGAGCTTGTAGCGGGCCGCAGCCAGTCGTCCATCGGGGAGGAGCTGCGGCAAGCAGGTGTCGTGGTCCAGGGCGAGGCTTCGGAAACGGATAGCGAGGAAGATGAAGAAATGCATCTAGCTAGGGCAGAACAACAGCAATTTCCTTCACAGTCAAACATTCCACCGCTGAAAGGTTTGTATGAAAATGAAAACAAAATTAAACTGAACAAGTTTAGCTGGAATTGAAAATGTGTTGCATGTCATGTCACTTGACGAGTCTGGGCTGAGTGAGTAAGTGTAAAACCAAGATGAGAGTGGTGGAGAGGAGAGGGAGCTCGGAGCCCTATGGCTATGTCTACACATCTAACATTTTACGGCGCTAGTGTACTTTTGTATCCATGTTTTTACCATTTTCATATCGATCATTCTTAGCAAAGAAATTGAGCCCAATTTTTTACTAATTTTAATCATAACCATATCCATACTCCACCTGAATTTGATCACATCCGACATTGGGAAGCCTCAGGTTAGGGCTTCAATGTATTCCTCGTGGAAAGTTCTCATTTTTTAATTACAAGCCCTAACTCCAAAGAACCTCAGGAATGTGAGCACATAATTTCTCCCAAAGGTTGCTTGTACATTACAGTACTTTTCAGAATGTGAGTGAAACATTAAAGTGTTAAAAATTAGGCATGTAATGATTAATGTTTTAAAAAAATGTACACCATGTCCCCTTAGGCGACAATTTTTTTTATAACCAGGCAGAAAGGGACTGTCTATTATGTTCTTATAAAAGACCACTTGGAGAGCTTTGATTGAACTAATAAGTTGTATAGCTTTATTGAGGCTCTATGTCAGTCAGACATCTTTGTAGCATCTCATGTACAAGTACTCATTGTTTCATAACATGACCTGGCATGAGTCATGGGTTGCAGGTCATTCTATATTTAGTTATACATGCTAGTCTGTATTTGCAGACTCTGTTAAACTACATGTAGCTATCACTACACCTCCCTTCTTTAAAAGAGGTTTACATATACATATATAAAACTTCTTAAACTGTACAGAGTGACAGGGTGGACTACCTGTACACTCGCGACTGTACTAGGGCATTATTCTGTCCCTTAAAGCTGGAGTACTGTCGCTTTCAAATATATAACTTATTACGCGACAGTCCATATCTTTCAAGGTTGCCATTCGCGACACTGGAATTCTCCGTTGAGGTTGAGTGATATCTGTTGATTTTTGTAATCAAAGTGACTAATTGAATCCGGTTATATTTTTAAACTATAACATGCAAATATATATCATGCTCATGAAATCCTGCAGTTATGTTTTAAAGTCCAAGTTGAACTCTGTAACTATAAACTATTTACAAAACGCGAAAGTCTTTCTCTGTAGTTCGCTTTCATTTATTTACAAGTTCAAGCGATCTGGCGGTTTAATAACTCGTCCGCTTCTGGTTCTGGTTGATGACGTAGTTGAGCTTTCTTCAGATGCTGGTTGCTCTGTAGCTTCTGCAGTGTCATCTAGCTCGAAGTCATCATGTGTTGGTAGTGGAATAGACTCGGCTTGTTGTTGACGTGGGACTGGCCTGAGGTGACGTCTGTTTCTGCGACGTATCTCTCCTGTTTCTGTCTCGATCTGGTATGGTCTGTTTCGATCCTGGACAGACCTGACAATACCACGTTTCGACCAGGTGTTGGTTTTCATGTCTTGAAGTATCACATGATCTCCAGGCTTTAGCTTTGACAAGTCTCGAGCATGTTTGTCGAATCGCTCTTTTTGCTTCACCTTATGATTCTCCTTTCTTCCCCTCACCAATCGAGTATTGACCTGTTGGTTGTCGAGTAAACTGTCAAGCATGGGGAGATCTGATCGAAGTTGACGAATATAGAGGAGTTCTGCCAGAGACTTTCCGCATGCTAGTGGTGAACTGCGTTAGACTTGTAGAGCTCTGTGGATATCCTGTCCACTGTGCTGTGACTTCAATATGAGTTTTTTTTACAATCTTCACAGCATTCTCTGCGAGGCCATTGGATTGCGGATAATATGGACTCGATGTAGAATGGTGAAAATCCCATTCTTTTGCAAAGCTCTGGAACTCTTGGCTTGCAAATTGAGGACCATTATCCGACATGAGTTCACATGGCGTTCCATGGCGAGCAAATACTGCTTTCATGTGGTTGATCACGGCCTTGCTACTAGTAGAAGTCATAGTACATACTTCAATGAACTGTGAATAGTAGTCGACGATGACCATGTACTCTCTATTGTTCAGCGTGAACAAATCAACAGCAACTTTTTCCCACGGGCGGTTCGGCACGTCATGAGGATGTAGACTTTCAGCTTGCTGTTTTGGTCTGTACATTAGGCATGAAGTACAACTTTGGACCATTTCAGTGATGTCTGTGTAGATTCTGGGCCAATAGATGACTTCTCTAGCACGTTTCTTACACTTCTCGATGCCTAAGTGTCCTTCATGGATTTTGTTTAGCATGAACCTTCTCATAGTAGTGGGAACCACTATTTTGCTGCCTTTGAAGATGATGCCATCTGCTTCAGAGAGTTCACTCCTGATGTTCCAGTATTCCCTGACTCTAACTGGACATTGCTGCTTCGTTTCCGGCCAACCATCTCTGATGATGCCTAACAGCTCTTGCAGTTGATCATCTTTCTTTGTCTCTTCGACAATCTGATTTCGTTTGTTCGATGTAACTGGCATGCTCTTGACAATAGCATCTACGTAGACTCTGATATCTTCCTCAGTTTCAGCATTCAACTCAGCCTTTGGATCTACTGCTCTGGACAATGTATCAGCAGTATACATGTACTTTCCAGGCGTGTACAAGACCTTGAGATCATATCTCTGTACCCTGATGAGTAACCTTTGAATGCGTAGGGGACAGTCACCCAGTGACTTTACAAACAGTGGAATAAGTGGCTTGTGATCAGTCTCCACTTCTACTTGTTGTCCATAGATGAATTGATGGAATCTTTCACATGCGTATGTGATTGCCAGCAATTCTTTCTCGATCTGTGCATATCTAGTCTCTGCGTCAGTCATTGATCTAGATGCATATGCGATCAGAACCCAATCTTGATCATATTGCTGTAGTAGCACTGCACCAATACCATCCTTTGATGCGTCTGCTGACAGCTTGGTTGGTTTCTTGCTGTCATAGAAATGTAGGACTGGCTCTTGTATCAGAGCTTGTTTCAGCTGATTCCATGCATCCTCTTGTGCATGATCCGATGTCCATACATTCTTTTTGTCTAGTAGATGTCTCAGCGCTGCTGACTTGGTCGACAGATCTGGAATGAACTTCCGTTGGTAATTGATCATACCCAAGAACCGTTGGACATCTTTCCGACATTTCGGTCTCCCAATGTTCAAGATAGCAGACACTTTGTTTGGATCCGGTTGAACTCCTTGATCACTGATGAAGTCACCAATGAATTTGAGCTTCTTGACATTGAACTCGCATTTGTCTTTGTTCAACTTGAGATTCGTTTTTCTCACAATGCTGAGAACCTCTCTCAATCTGTCATCATGCTCCTGTTGGGTAGTTCCCCATACAATCACATCATCCATCATTGTGTTAACTCCCGGAATATGTGCAAACAGTTGGTGCACTATCTTGTGATAGACTTCCGGAGCACTACAAATACCAAAAGGTAGTCTCAAGAACTTGTACCTTCCGTATGGCGTGATAAACGTACAAAGCTTGGAGCTTTCGTCATCTAGTTGGATCTGCCAAAAACCACTAGATGCATCTAACTTGCTGAAGTATTTGGCTCCTGCAAAATGTGCAGTTATTTCAGCTCTTGATGGCAATTGATAATGTTCTCTTTTGATTGCTCGGTTCAGGTCTCTTGGATCTAGACAGACCCTGAGCTGACCGTTCTTTTTCATCACCACCACGAGAGAAGAAACCCAATCAGTTGGCTCATCAACTCGTGTGATTACGTCCATTCGTTCCATCTTATCTAACTCGTCTTTGAGTTTATCTTTAAGTGGAAATGGAACTTTGCGACATGCATGCTGAACAGGATGTGCGTCCTCTCTCAATGTGATGTGGTGTTTACCAGGAAGACAACCTAGACCTACAAACACATCTTGATAGTCTTGAACTACACTTTTATCCGTTACGTGTTCAGTTTGTTTCTCAACATGATACACCCGTTTCACCAGATACAAGTCTTCACTCGTCCGTAATCCTAACAAAGGCTGACGATTTCCAGGAATGACTAGACACGGCACATTGCGTTTGATCCCTTTGTACTCAACTTGTACACAACAACGACCTTTGACCGGGATATCTGTCTCATAATAACCTGTCAACATCACTTTGGCTTTTTGTAGCTTTGGTTTTGGTTTCAATTTGTGAAATACTGTCTCAGGAAGAACATTCGCCTGAGCACCAGTATCTACCTTGAAGTCAACCGGCTGGTTATTGACTAGTAGATTAACTATCCATTCATCCTTGGATTCTTTTGATTCAACAGAGCAAATCATGAAACCCTCTGAATCTACCTCCAAGTGCTGCAGTTCATTGACCTTGGCTACTGGGGTTTTACAACATTTAGCAAAATGATTCTGCTTACCGCACTTCTTGCATGTTTGACCTTGTGCGGGACATTTGTCTTTGCTATGTCGGTTTCCGCACCTGCTACATGCATCACTTTTAGTACGACCTTGAGGTTCTGACTGTTTTGACTTTGAACCAGGAAATTTCTTCTTAGTCTTGCTGAAAGAATCTACCGGAATTGAGGCGTTTTCCCCTGCGGAACTCAACGCTTGTGCCTGCGTTCGAGTTTGTTCAGCCGCACGACATACTTGCAACGTTTTAACCAATGTAAGATCATCTTGCCTCGACAAACGTTCTCTTAGACCATCGTCTAAAATACCACAGATAATTCTGTCCTGGATAAGACTCTCTTTCAACATGGAAAACTCACATGACTGAGCACGACTCCGCAATTCTGTTGCGTACTGATCAACACTCTCATGCACTAACTGAGATCTTGTGAAAAATCTATGTCTCTCATACGTTAGATTACGTTTCGGTATGCAATATTCCTCATATTTGTTCAACACTTTCTCAAGCTTCATGCTCTCACCCTCAGCAAATACAAACGTATTATACAATTCCAAGGCAGCATCGCCAATCACGTGTAGAAGCATTGATGTTTGTAACTTTTCATCTTTTTCAGACATTCCTGAGGCAACATTGTATAGAGTGAATTTCTGTTTAAATCTTCTCCAGTTCTCGGACATATTTCCCTTTAATTCGAGTGGAGGAGGTTGACTGAGATTTGCCATTTTGTTTCTTTTTGTTTCTTAGCCTAGTGTAGTCACTCACATGAACAGCATAACAATTAGCTTTTTCTTTTTGTATCTTTGCAACAATTACTTTAAGCTCAACTATTAACTTTCACTGAGTTATTCTGTATGTTCATGTCCCATATATGTCACGCTTACTGCCCGTTATACTGGAACTGGCCCGGCACAGAACTATGCACTCCAATCCATACAACGACAGCGCTAACTATTATGGACATAACTACATTCACTGGACATACAGTACACTTAGACTCTAAGCCCTCTCATCATCTCTCACATCACAAAGAATTGGATTGAACTGGCCTGGTTTCAATGATTCCTCCATATATATATATTGTAGGCTGGGTTGCTCAGCACAAACACTGGCTGCTAAGTTCTGACACCATATTATGTTCTTATAAAAGACCAGTTGGAGAGCTTTGAACTAATAAGTTGTATAGCTTTATTGAGGCTCTATGTCAGTCAGACATCTTTGTAGCATCTCATGTACAAGTACTCATTGTTTCATAACATGACCTGGCATGAGTCATGGGTTGCAGGTCATTTTATATTTAGTTATACATGCTAGTCTGTATTTGCAGACTCTGTTAAACTACATGTAGCTATCACTACACTGTCCTTTCCCACTTATTCAATCATTTAATCATGGGCGTCAATCCTAACGTAATACCTATTGTTCAGGGGGGGGGGGGATGAATGAATAGATCATCTTCCCCTGAACAATAGGTATCAATTACAGAGGAGGAGGGGGCATGTAATGGCAGTGCCAGTGATAGGTGGCTATTAAATTAAGACACAATACGTTTTTAGAAATCTTTTCTCCAGAATTATTTAAAACTTCTAAACTAAGATTGTGAAAGTCCTTAAATATTGTTACTGTTTGAACTAAAAAGAGAACAATCCTGAAAAAAGGAGTTGCCATGGCAGTCTGAATTTGAAATTTCTTTTCCTCTAATCCTACGTAAGGATATTGCACCACATCCCCTTGATTTATATAATTCGATAATCCTCTTATTCCTACTCTGACGTTTTCCTTTGTTTTAGTGCTGTAGCCGAACCGAACGCAAAGGCCTGGTTCGGATGTTCGGCAGAAAAATGTTAACGTTTTTGCAAGCTAATAAACTTGTCATTTTGTACCTTTTGTTGCTATTCAAAATGGCAGCTTTCATGACTCTAACATTAGACAACAATCGTCTCGAAAAATCTTGAAAAAATATCATTTATTGACAAATTGAAAACATGATTCTTTAAAAATTGAAAATAAAACACAATTCAAGACGGAAATACTAATGTAAGTAGTACTTTTCTTCACAAATAATTACATTTAGAGCAGTTTTTTAGCGTGAAATTCGTGCTGGTCGGAAGCACTGTTTTTCAGCAGGAGTGGGCAGAAGTCCTTCGTGCTGGTCGGGCCCGGCCGGCCGGCCCGCCCAGTGCCGACTGCCGTGGCTATAACGCTGCTTGCTATTATATTACCGAACCCCGAACCGAACCAAGTTCGGGTGAAAAATTGCCGAACTCTGCCGAACCGAACACGAACATAGCGTCTAACTTACAGCACTACTTTGTTTCCCTCTCCCAGTTAACCGAGCATCTCGTTCTCCATCCATCGGCAGCCAGTCATCCATCAAGTCAGTCTCCTCGGCCTCGCAGGTCAAGGTGTCGCCGCTGGACCCGCCCCGGTACGACACCCTCCTCCACAGGAAGCTACGAGAGCGCAACATCAGTCTTCAGGTCAGTCTCCAGGAGGCCGTAGCTCAGGCCATACAGGCCAAGCACAAGGAGTTCAGCAACACCAACCAGATGCTCACCAAGTCACAGATGGTCATCCAGGTAAAAATAATGATAATAGCTAGTTGTTATATAGCGCTTTTCAGGACCGAAGGCCCTCTCAAGGCGCTTTACATTATTACCCCGGTCATTGGATTCAGGCTTACCCGCACACAATGTACATGTATGTAGGGGATCAAATTGACATTGTGACAATAGTAACAATAGCTTCTAATGCATTCAAATACGTCATCAAAATAGTCTGTAAATAACTTCTGATTGACAGACAATTTCATCAATTGTTGATGTTCAACAGGTTTAATATCTTCAGGTAGGCCGGCAAGTTCAAAGTTCATTGTGTATTTTATTGTGTACTTTATTGTAACAGACTACATATATTTTAAAATTCCTAATGATTGTGCGCTTATTAATTTGATAGCTCTACTGTAACTTGGATCAGAGGAAAATTAAAGTTTTGTTTTGGTATTCCAAGAAGAACATAACGTAACATATGTGTATGGGACCCTCAAAACACTACCCCCCCCCCCCCCCCCCCCCCCCCCCCCCCGTGAATACCAATTCTGCCTAGAAAATTAATGGGTCATCAAAAATGTAAGCTACAGTGGCATTTGCCCTGATTGTTTTTTAGCTTAGGTTTAGGGTTGACGCGATGGAAAGTATTAGGTCCAGGATTGAACTCAAGAATTTGATTGGTTTTCAAAATTGAGTTCTGAGCCACTGTCATAGGAGCATGTGTCATAGAACCAATTAATTGCATCATTGTGGTTGAATGCTTCATATTGATGCTCTTGCACAAGCAAACAATTAGATGTAAATGTAAATGTCCTACAAAATGAGTAGAAGAAATAAGTAGACCAAAGCTCAGCATAACATAGCTAGGGCATTGTTTTAATAGAAAGGAAATGTACAAGACTATCACAGATGTAGGATTAAAATAAGTATAACCTACTTTTAGTTGAGTTAGTATTTTGCAACGTCCAAATTCAACATGCATCATGGTTTGCATTTTTTTATTGCAGGATGTATGCTACAGTATGCGACATTTCTCAGACGACATCAAGCGCACCAATGAAAAACTGGACATCATCAGTACAAGTGGATATTTGCCAGAATTTAACTTTCCATCCAATGGATCATGATGAGGCGCAGCTCCCAGATGGTTTTTGGTTGTTTATGTACATTTATTTGTACATTTATACACGTTGATGGCGATCAGTGATACAAGTACTTACCTGCAGAATGTCTTGACGGAAGTGAGACAATTCAGTAAACTGATGACAGACTAAATCATAATAATATTGATAGTTACATTTATGTTGCACACATATTCTATTCCTCACACATCCATTGCAGGGGATGTTCGAGGTGCCTTCAAAGTACTAGGTTACCCTGGCTTTAGGCCCACTGCCTAAAGGCTCTCTAAGCATTCATGGAATAATTTCCTACCAGGTACGGTAACTATTTACCACACCTGGGTGGAGAGTGGTTAGTGTAGATTAATGTCTTGCCAAAGGACATTAGTGCAGTGCAGTGCAGTGACAGGACTTTAATCGCGAACCAAGCGATTCATGGTCTGGTGACGTATCTGTTAGACCATGACACCTCCATGCCAAAGAGAATAGAGAAATCACTCTATCATGCAGAGTTCTAAAGGAGGGCAGGTGCATTCTTCAGTATAAATTTCAACAGTTTCCAGATTTCTTGGTCATTAATCTATTAAAGGACAATAATAAATGTAAAAATAAACATAAATCAAGTCTTTCACTGTAAGACGTTTTATTTCCAGCTTCAACTCGTAATCCAATTTGAGTGAGAAGTTTTATCGCAGGGAACTTCAGCTGAGGATACAAGTTTGTAGAGTGGATGGAAACAAAATGTGTTATATATGTACATGTATGTGTTATTCAATATTTCAAAAAATAATTTACCTGGACAGAAAGCAAGAAGTTAATGTAAATTGTCTTTTTTTCAAACACAATTTTTTCTAAAAAGTGTGTTCAAAAGTACTTTTTTGTCTATCCTATTTGTTTACTTCCAAATCGAGGCAGAAACCACTTGAGCAAAATAAACAACTTTAAGGGGTTGGCGATAGATAATGTTACAAGTAAACCAAAAAGACAGCTTGGCACAACTCCTACGCATTTCAACTTTTTGGTGAGCCTTGTTTTATTTTTTTGTATACAGATTCTAATTGATAAAGGACAATATACTAGCTTTAACACTAATTGCTTAGAGTTTTTTGCTTAGAGCTGTAATCAGTAAATTAAACAAATGAGAGGCAAAGCATAATTGTTATGGATGTAATTTGGCAGGGATCACAGATGCTTGTAAAACTTTAGATCAGCTACATTTGCATGATACATTGTACTTGCAAACCTCCGGCATCGGTGCAAATGACCAACAAAGGATCCTAGCATCTATATATCATGGCTGCTGCATTTCTTTCCAAAGATGCTGACTAAAACATTCACACAGAAGATGTTTTCTTACATTAAGAATGTTCACTAAAATTCATCAGAAATTAAAGATAAAGTTCCGGTCATGCGATTGCATTGAGAAAGAAACCGTGTGGAATCGATCAGAAAAGGTTGATCATGTAGCATGTAAGTATTGATATGTACTGCAAGGTTCTGGAGTCATCAAAATGATGAGAAAATTGACCAAGTCTTGGTAAAGTAACAAGCAGTGTACACAGAAAAATGTATATGGGACTACACAAACATTTGGCATAAAAGCATTTTTAAGCTGTGACTATTCATATTTAGAATATGAAGGTATTTGAAGAGCCATGCTTATCAGGGGATATTTTGACTCTGATGTATTTCCACACTTGCAAAATTATTTTTCACCTCTCCCCAGAACTCGACTTTCTCTTTAGAGATGTAACATTCAGATATTTTGCAAGTTTATAAAAAAATGGTAGAACAATATGAGACTGTATATTCACCATTTTTCATTACCTTTTGCTACCATTAATGTTTCTCATCTATTGAGGGTCGAACTTTTAAGTCTTCTCAAATATGTAGCAAATGCAGCATATTATCTTGTTACCCTATGCTCATTACCAGTCTGCCTCTAGTCCTTAATTCTTATTGTTTTTTCTGTTATGTCTACCGGACTACCGGTATGTTCTGTGAAACAAAATTCAGAAATTTATGCATGTACATTTATGAGAATAGAATGCGTACAATGTTAGCACATTGCATGAGGGGGCAAGATCAGCAAAAAGTTTCATGATTGAAAAATTGTTGGATCAGACTTGAAGATAAAGGCCAGTTGGGCAATTCCACGGTAACGGAAGGACACTCAGACAAGATTTTTTAACTTCAGGTTCATACTAAAAGAACTGTTTTAATAGTATAAGATGTGAAACAGTACAGATATAATACCTATATAACTGCCTTTAATTCTCCCCAAAAAATTGTCATTATAGTTAAGTAGTTTAAGAATGTGCATATTAATTATCTCGGTAACGGAAGGACATAAAAATGGACATGGTTTTTCCAGCTAATTAGTGTTTATCCAAACTTTGTGAAGTTGATGAAGCTTTCCACTTGACTGAAACACATTTTGTTCCCCATAGTTTAATACATACTAATAAAACATTTCTTTTAGTATGAACCTGAAGTTCAAAAATCTTGTCTGAGTGTCCTTCCGTTACCGTGGAATTGCCCAGTTATGGTCATGTTATTGCATTGTGAAATAAACGTTTTGGAATCACTCAGAAAAGGTTGATCATCTAACATATAAGTATTGGTGTGTACTGCAATGTTCTGGAATCATCAAAATGATAAGAAATTTGGCCCAGTCTTGGTAAAGTTACAAGCACTGTACACAAAAAGATGTATATTGGACTACGCGACACGTGCTCGACACGTGCTCGACACGTGCTCGACACGTGCTCGACACGTGCGCAATATCTATCATGTCCAAATGGATATAATAATTTACCAAATATTTCAATTACATGTAATAGGCGGTTTCTCTACAAAAAATTTGTATCATCACATATTAGTCAAAACATATTCTTTCATATACTTAAGAGCTTCTATTTCATTTTTTGAGCGGGGGGCGTTTCCAAAACTGGACTTTATCTTTAAAAACAAGCGCAATACCCAATTTTGCAAATTTCCTTTAAATAACTTGTGTTTACAGTAATTTATTTTCTTTTGATGTAGTTCTTTTTGTCATTGCTATGTGTTTCTTCACTCTCCTTTTCTCTCTGTTAGTACATGTATTGTATTTGTATTTGTATAATGTATAAGAAGTGCAATTAAATATTAATGCATACATGCCAACATTTGAAAATCAGAAATCTTTACAAATTATGCTATTTTCAAAAAAAGAGAGGAACAATCCTAACTCTCCTATTCAATACTACAGACAAATTTGTACAGGAAGAGGAACACCTGCATTAAAATGATAATTATCTTCTCCCAAAAAGAGGAATGTTCGTCTTTAATCTGAACAGTTGGCATGTCTGTTAATGCTATGCTAAGATATTATAGAAACTTATCAGTGCAATGAAAAAGAATGAACCTGTATGAATTAAATGCATGATCAATTGATGAAAAGACTAATCATAATGTATCAGAATTCTCATTTCCATTAATTTTGAGGGCTCAAATATTTGGCTGGAAAAGTGTTTTGGAAATTGAGACAAAATATGTTGAATGAGATAGTGATACCTTGAAGATGAACTTTGTCTCTTAATGAATGCAATTTGATTTCATTTCTCCCCTGCAACTCTTGATAGATGCACAAATACACATGAACATGGAAGCGTAATACAGGGGTCAAAGACATCTTCCACAGATGAAAATTGGCCTTTTTGAAATTCATAATTTTGGCTAAAATTGGTGGGCTTGGTGGGCTTGCCATTTTTTTCAAAAGGGGACATTTTTCGACTTTTCATGAAATTATCTGAAATAACATGTTTTGAATGAACAGGGGGCATAATCACCTACAGATAAAAAGATATGAAAATAAGCCTTTTTGAAAATTCATGAATTTTGGGTCAAAAATTATGGGCTAACCCCTTGCCATATTTGTCATTAAGTGTCATTATTCCAATTTTCATGAAATGATGTGCAATAACATTTTGAATAGACAGTGGTCAAAGAGATGAAATGATATGAAAATAAGCCTTTTTGAAAATTCATGAATTTTGGCCAAAAAATGATGTGCTAACCCCTTGCCATTTTTTTCAAAAAAGTGTCATATTTCCAAATTTCATGAAATGATCTGCAGTAGCATAATTCGAATAGACAGGGTTCAAAGAGATGAAAAGATATGAAAATAAGCCTTTTTGAAAATTCATGAATTTTGGCCAAATATGATGCATTTGCCATTTTTGTTATATCTGTCATTAAGTGTCAATATTTTGCCATTTTTGTCATAAAGTGTCATTTTTTCAATTTTTTTGAAATGAACTGCAGTAGCATTTTTTTAATAGACAGCGGTCATAGACACCTAAAATTGAAAATAAGCTTTTTGAAAATTAATGAATTTTGGCCATAAATGATGGGCTATTAACCCCTCGCCATTTTTGTCAAAAGGTGTTATTTTTCCAAATTTCATGAAATGATTTACAATAACATATTTTGAATAGACAGGGGTCATAGACACCTTCTAGAGATGAAAAGATATGAAAATAAGCCTTTTTGAAAATTCATGAATTTTGGCCAAAAACGATGCATTTGCCATTTTTGTCATATCTGTCATAAAGGTTCAATATTTTGCCATTTTTGTCATAAAGTGTCATTTTTCCAAATTTCATGAAATGAACTGCAGTAGCATTTTTTTTTAATAGACAGCGGTCATAGACACCTAGAGATGAAAATAAGCTTTTTGATAATTAATGAATTTTGGCCATAAATGATGGGCTAACCCTCACCATTTTTGTCAAAAGGTGTAATTTTTCCAAATTTCATAAAAAGATTTACAATAACATATTTTGAATAGACAGGGGTCATAGACACCTAGACATGAAAAGATTTGAAAATAAGCTTTTTGAAAATTAATGAATTTTGGCCAAAAATGATAGGCTAAACCCTCGCCATTTATGCAGTAGCATATTTTAAAGACAGGGGTCAAAGACAGGGGTCAAAGATATTAAAAAAAGCCTCTTTGAAAATTCTTGAATATTGGCCCAAAATGATGGGCTAACCCTTTGCCATTTTCTTCGAAAAGTATCATTTTTCTACATTCCATGAAAAGATCAGCAATAACATAGTTTGAATAGACAGGGGTCAAAGATATGAAAAGATATGAATAGATATAAAAATAAGCCTTTTTGAAAATTCATGAATTTTGCCAAAAATAATGGGCCATTTTTGTCAAAACGTATCATTTTTCAACATTACATGAAATGATCTGCAATAACATATTTTAAACAGAGCTCGAAGACATGAAAATAAGCCTTTTTGAAAATTCATTAATTTTGCCAAAAATAATGGGCCATTTTTGTCAAAATGTATCATTTTTCAACATTACATGAAATGATCTGCAATAACATATTTTAAACAGAGCTCGAAGACATGAAAATAAGCCTTTTTGAAAATTCATGAATTTTGGCCAAAAAAGATGGGCTAACCCCTTGCCATTTTTGTCAAAAAGGGTAATTTTTTCATATTTCATGAAAAGATCTGAAATAACATAGTTTGAATAGACAGGGATCAAAGAGATGAAATAATATGAAAATATATGAAAATAAGCCTTTTTGAAAATCCATGAATTTTGGCCAAAATGGTAGGCTAACCCCTTGCCGATTTTGTCAAAAAGTATCAGTTTTTTATATTTTATGAAATGATCTGCAATAACATTGTTTAAATAGACAGGGATCAAAAAGTGATATTTTTTCACATTTCATAAAATAATCTGCAATAGCATATTTTCAACAGACTCGAGTCATAAACACCTTCTCAAGATGAAAAGATATGAAAATAAGCCTTTTTGAAAATTCATGAATTTTTGCCAAAAATGAGGGGCTTACCCCTTGCCATTTTTGTCAAAAAGTGACATTTTTTCACATTTCATGAAATGATCTGCAATAAGCATATTTTTAATAGACTGGGGTCAAAGAGTTTAAATGATATGAAAAAAGGCCTTTTTAAA